GATTCATAGGAAGTGGCACTATTAGGAGAAGTGACCTAGTTGAAGTGTGTAGCCTTGTTGAAGGAAGTGTGTCACTGGGGGTGGACTTTGAGTTTTCAGATGCTCAAGTCAGGCCCTGTGTCACCCTGTGTCTCTCTCTTCCTGCTGCCTGAGGATCTGGATGTAGAACTCTCAGCTACCTCTCCAGCACCATGTCTGCCTGAGTGCCGCCATGTTTCCCACCATGACAGCAACGGACTAAACCTCTGAACTATATATAAGGCAGCCCCTGTTGGAAGCTTTCCTTTATAAGAGTTGCTGTGGTCATGGTGTCTCTTCACAGTAATAGAAATCCTTAAAAAAACAATGAGGGTACTTCCCACACCCTTCTTTATGGATTGGATATGAAACACTCCCCATAGGCTCCTGTATTGAACACTTGGTCCCCACTATTGTAGTTGGTCCCCCCCGACTTTGGGGCCCACCACCCAGCTCTCAAATAAATACACAGAGACTTATTCTTTTTTTTTTTTTCAGCATCCAAATCTGTATTGAGGAAATGCGTGTCTAAAGGGGTGGGCCTGGGGCCCTCATTGCACAACTTGTTCATTGGCACTGCCTCCAGAATCCTGGGACTCTGTCATATCTGGAAGCTCTGGAGGACTGGAGAAGGGCTCAATGCGCAGGGCTTCCAAGGCATCATCTGCTCGAATGGCCAGGCCCAGTGGCTGGGGCCTGTGGCCATGCTGTCTGGCTAGCAAGGCCACACTCGCCCAGAGTGGTGGTCTTGTGGCACCAGATCCATCATGGCGGCTGCTTCTGGCTCCCATGCTCCACCCCTTCCTGGCAACCCAAGCATGGCCAGCTGTACTCTGAGACTTATTCTTACTTATGAATGCCCAACCTTAGCTTGGCTCGTTTCTTGCCAGCTTTTCTAACTTAAATGATCCTTTAACTATGTTTGCCTCTGCCGTGCCCGCTGCGCAGCCTGTATCCGAGAATGTGTGGAGGGTGTCAGGATTGATGACACAGAGACCAGAAGGGTCCTCAAGAAGGCTCTTCTTTATTCCTACCCTGGCTGGTTATTATATACCCTGACACCAGAGGCGGTGGTGGGTGGGCTAGAAAGAGGTGGTTAGTCTTTGGAAAAGGTCGAGGTCAGGGTGTTCCGTGGGCAAGCCCTTTTCAGGAACTTATTGCCCCGGGTATTGTATTGTTTTTAGTAAACATGTTTTTAGTAAACATTGTCTTACAGCTTCCTGGTCCCAGGTTGATGGGGAAGTGGGTCTCTGGCCAAGGTCTGTTGTCCCCACAGCCTCTGGGCTTTTTGTCTTTCTTTATTCTACATGTCTTTCTTCCCTTCTTACTCCTCGGCTGGCTGGGTGGCTGGGTGGCTGGCTGGCTGGCTGGCTGGCTGGCTGGGTGGGTGGCTGACTGGGTGGGTGGGTGGCTGGCTGGCTGGCTGGCTGGCTGGGTGGCTGGCCCCTGGCATCCTCTTCTCCTTCTTTTCTCACTCCTTGCTCTTCTTTCGAGCCTAGATTTCTCCTATTTATTCTCTCTGCCTGGCAGTCCTGTCTACCCCTCTCATGCCTAGCTTTGGCCATTCAACTCTTTATTAGACTAATGAGGTGTTTTAGGCAGGCAAAGTAACACAGCTTCACAGAATTAAACAAATGTGACATAAAAGAATGCAACACAGCCCAGACTGATGGCTGGGAGGACAGCATGGGACTGATCCAGACCCCCTGAACGTGGGTGTCAGTGAGGAAGCCTTGGTAATCTATGGAGCCCTGGGTAGTATTTATCCCTGGCATACAAATGGACTTTGGGTGTCCATCCCACAATGAGGGATGCTCTCTCAGTCTGGACTCTTGGGGTAGGGCCAAGGCCCTGCCCTGAATGAAATGACAGACTCTGGAGATCCCCCATGGAGGGCCTCACCCTCCCTGAGGATTGGAGTGGGGATTGGGTGGCCATCTGGGGAGCCTGGTGGGAGGGGCAGGGGAGGAGGAGAGGGAGCTGGGATTGACATGTGAAGCAAGCTTGTTTCTAACTTAAATTTAAAAATGGAAAAAAAAAGAATGCAACACAGCTGAGCTGTGGTGGATCATGCCTTTAATCCTAGCACTCAGGAGGCAGAGGCAGGTGCATCTGTTTGAGGACAGTTTGGTCTACAGAGACAGTTTCTTTGGTTCCAAGACAGCCAGGGCTACACACAAAGAAACCCTGTCTCAAAAAAAGAATGCAACACATCTTGGCATCATTAAAATAATATTCCACAGTATAAACAAATGCAATACATCTTAAATTCATATTCTACAACACTATTTTAGAAGGTTCTGGAAACTTTAAGGGATGGGGTCTAGCTGAAGCAAAGAGGTCGCTCACTGGTGGGACACAACTTTGAAAACTGTACCTATTCCCTTGCCCTGTGTGGAGGTTAAGAAGGCCGCCTTACAAGATTCTGTTCACAGGATGCACAGTGCCGCCCATGCACATGACCAAGCAACTGTGAGCCTCTGAACTCAAGAGCCAAAATAAACCTTCCCCCCATACACTGTCTGTGAAAGGTCTGGCTGGAACACCCCAGGCACATGATTAGTGTCAGAAGAAAGGCAGGCTTGAGAACTTTGAAGTCAACCTTGGTGGTCGGGATAACCCTGACCACAATCAAAGAATAAATGAAACAGAAGACCCCCACCTCCTACCATACCTTTCCAGAAGGCTTCCCTGTTAGTAATTTATTTCTGTTTTTTCTGCATGGCAAATATTTTCTGCATTAATATAAATACATATGCATGCATATTGTTATAGAAAACTATTTTAATCATAAATAAGATTATGCTCCACAGCCTGCCATGAGACTTCCTATTTTATGAGTGTTCTTTGTGTGCTCACATCTGGACCTACTTCTGAGCTTTTTGATGGCTGAGTGGTATTTCTTTTTATGGCTGCCCCATCCTAAGACAAGAATGAATGAACTCCAAGAGCTCTTGGCTGATTGCACGATTTCATAAATGTATGGAAAATAAGCCAGCACTACATATTATTTAATTGTTTAGCCAGCCATGTGTTGTGCACATTGAGATGTCTAACTTACCACTTCCCAAAGGGCTGATGAATGTCCTTAAACTTGCACTTCCTTGTAAAGTCACTGGAAGGAGAAAGCACGAGGCACAGAATTGCTGGGACAAGTTAAGTGTCCTCAGGTTGTCTGGAATGGTTCTGCCAACTTACATCTCACCCACCTGTGAGTCCTCCGGGTCCCCAGCTCCTAATACGAGCACCAATGACCTTTTTGACTTTGCCCATCTGCACAGGTTTTAGAAATTCAATCTCCCTGGATTTCAGTGGGCACCTCCGTAACTGTTGATGAAAGTGACGGTGATTTTTACACATTTGCTTTTTATTCTGCTGCTTTTTCTTCAAGCAGCTTATTCATGCACTTTGATTTTCTCTTCAGTTTGAACAAGCTTCCTGAGGGCACCGAGTGAGAGTCAAGTGAAAGTTTTGCAGGAGTGCTGTGGCCCCGGCGGTTTCATATCCCTAGTGACTTGTACCTCCTTGACAAAAGCGACTTGGAAAACAAGAAAGGCTGTGGAGAGGCACTAATTTTCTCTGGTTGATTGAGGGGCTTTTGTTTGTTTGTTTGTTCCTTCCTTTCAGCTAGATAGAAATCATCTATTTCTCCAGCATGGAAACCAACTCCCCGAGAACTGAAACTTCTGATTCTATCATTTAATCCAATCTAATAATTACCCTGGCTTTCCTTGGTAATTAGTGATGATAGATTGCAGACTGGTAAAGCACTTTTTAATTTTAGTTAATTTTTAAGTCTAGATGACTTTACTAAAAAAAAGGCAAAAAAAACTTTTTGTTTTTTGTTTTGTTTTTACTCATCTATTGTTCCAAAGATCTGGATCTGTTTTGTTGTTCCTTTGTATGTCTGAGTGTGTGTGCATGTGTGCGTGCGTGCGTGCGTGTGTGTGTGTGTGTGTGTGTGTGTGTGTATTGGAGCAGGAGGACCTTCCACCTCGTTTGAAACAGGGTCACTGTTCTGCAGTTTGTCGCTGAATATGCAAGACTAGCTGGTTTCTTCTTCTGAGCTCTCCTCCCATCTCACTGTGGGTGCACTGGGAACTCTGGTGCACAACTCGGACGTGTGTCCTGAAGCTGCAGATTGGCCTCATGCTTGCCTGGCTATCATCCCCTGGCCCTTTGTTTAATTTCCCTTTTATTTTTTAATACAGGATCGCATGGCATTGTACAGGCTGCCCTCAAACTTCCGAGTGCTGGGTCCTGCGCAGCGTGGTCCTGGAAACGTGACTGGAAAAGAATGACGACAGGTGGGCATGCAAGAAAGCCGGGATCAACTGAGCTGTGCTCGTGCTGAAGGGGGTCGCCAACTGCACAGCTCGGAAGAGTAGTGGGTGGAGTGAATTTATCTTGTGCAGCACAGGGAGGGGCAGTTGCTCTGGACAGGAGGTCTCTGCAGGGAGCAGTCTCAGGGTGCATCCAGGCATCCAGAGGAGGAAGCAGTATTGCTAGGTTTTGCTCACACCGGCCAGTCTTTGTAAACACGAGTACTTGAACCGGCGGAAGACTTTGCCATTCCTCTGACCTCACCTGGGGAAGACTTTGCCATTTGCACGGGTCTGAGGCATGGCTGCGCTCACATCAACAACATCCACTGAATCAGGACTTCATCTGCTCCCCGCACCTGAGCTCACATGATCAATCGTCCCGCTTCCGGTTCCCAAGCAGTGGGACTAGAGCTTTGCACCACCATGTTGGACTTCAAGCTAGACTCTTGATCTTCAAGTGAGTTTCACAGTTTTACAAAGACCGTTGGGATGAACGCCTCAAGATTTGACTTCTGCTCAAAGTAGAGAGCCCCGTGATAGGGGCTTGCCTTTCTTCAGGCTCCTCTCCTTCTAGATTAACCTCCAGAAACTTCCTCAATAAGCCTCTTGTTCCCCCACTGTACAGCCTCCCCCCTCCCCCACCGGCTTTCTCAGAACTCTGTAACAATCAGTACATAATTATCCACATACTGGTTGGTTTCACATATTTCTCTTTATTCATTTTCATCTTTTCTTCCCTTTTAAGTTAAAATGCTCCTACAGATTAGGTTTTGCATTAATTATATCATGTGGCGTAACAAATTACCCCCCAAATTTAGCATCTTAAAACAACATCATCTAGCGGTTTCTCTGAGCCAGAAGCTCCAGCATGACTGTGCTGCAGCCATGGATGGGCTTGGCTGAGCTGCAGGCTCCCTTCTGGGGTGGGGGTGGGGCCATCCTCACAGAAGCCAATTGAGACTCTTGGTTTCTTGCCACCTGGACTCCATAGCCCTGCTCCAGGAGTCATTCAGGAAAGTGTGACACTCATCCAGATCGCCTTTGAGAGCCCAAGAAAGAACAAAGCAAAAGTTGTACTGTCTTTCATGCAGGCTTCGAAGTCACACAGTGTTGTTTTTCCAGCTACCTCATTGGATACATAGCCCTCCACAGAGGAGAGGTGTCAACACCAGCACACAGGAATTATGTGGGGCCATCACAGAGCATAGCCAACTCAGCACAGGGACTCTGTCTTCTCTACATTCCTTTTATCAATCATGTTGGCATGAGTATGGTCACTGAGAAGAACCTAAGTACTTGGCAGTGCACACCAGTAATCCCATCACTGGGGGGGCGGGGCTGTGACCATGGGCACGCAGGGCCAGTCTGTTGTATGCAGGGAAAGTGTTTCTCAAAAGAACAAACACTGATCGCAGAACTATTGTGATGAGTCAAGAAGCTGATGGGTTGGCACATGAGAGCACAGGGTCTTGAGCTGCCTCGTTACTGTCTGGCAAGGTAGAGTTTTGCACGTGAGTTCATTGAGTCTGTCGTGGAGAGGAGCCCTCTGGCTCACCCCTGCTTGTTAGGACGTCAGAGCTGTGACTGACAAAATAACCAAGTCCTCTGCAGGCCTGAGGGGACTCTCAAACTGGAATGACTTTTGGGTTTCCATCATGGAAGTTGCAACACTATTAATCAAGGCCCAGATTTAATTCTCAAGTTGGTCATTAATCATTTGCCAGCACACCAGTGATCTGCTGAATGGAATATTTTCAAATATTAAAGTTCTGAGAAATCCTACAATAAAGAAGTTTGTTTCCCAAACTGAGCGTAAATCTCAGTTCAGAGATTGCAATCTACAAGAAACTGATTTTTGAATCTGAACGCCTTTCTTCCAGACTGAGGGGGAAAGTTCCTTAAGTTCCTTCTTTAATGGAACTCTCTCACCTACCCTGGGTTGTGCCCAACTCCTGGGATACCCATGTACTCTCACTTTGGGCACACATAGTCACTGCTCAGATGCCCCCAAACTCCTGTCCGTATGACTCTGCCGGGTCTGAGGCCCTGGCTTGCCCCTTGCGATCTACTCAAGTCTAAGGAATCCTCTTGCTTTGAGGTTGAATAGCTCCCTCTCCAGACCCGGGCCTTGCTGCTTGCTCTTTCCTCAGGCCTGTCTCACACATCCACTCTAACTCCTGGAAGCCCTCAGGTTGCAAGCCTGGTCTAAGTGGCCTTGCTGATGTCTCCCCACCCCCCTGGCATTTGGCTTAAAGGCCAGCCTGAGGTGCTGCTGAGCCACAGCTAGACACTGTCTCCTCTACTCCTGCCTCCCCTCTTCCCTTCTCCCCTCTCCTTCTTTCTTGTCTCTTTTCCTTTTCTTTCTCCTCAAGCTCTTTTTCCAAGTTGGGGTGAAGACCCTGGATTCTCCTGAGCATGAGGAGAGGCCGCAGAGACTTTCCCTAGCAGTGATCACTGTGCTTACAAGGGAGAAGGTTAAGAGATGGAGAGATGATGAGGGGGTCACACCTGAGAATACCTGTCACCCATCACACCAAGGAGACAGTTTTGTGGGTCATAGTCTGGAAATTCTGCAAATGGCTTCCCAATGGCCTATTAAGAAGCCAGGTGGATGCCAAGGGGGTGGCCCTACAGCCTACAGTCTGGTGACAAAAAGGAGGACAGTGGGAAGCCTTTTCATCTGCAGATTCCAGTCTGCCCTACTGGAGGATGGGCGCCAAGGCCTGGGCACAGCTGCTGGGAACCTCTCGGCCTGCAGTGAGAGCCTGAGGGCTTGTGGGAGGAGATGTTGCTATTCTTGGTGGCTTTTGAACACTTTTTAAATGAGATTGCACATATCTCCACCCATTGCACTTGTTTTCTACAAGGCACCACTTTCTTCGGGGCTCTTTTGAAAAACATTCAGCTCCCTACTGTGAGAGTATGAGGCTCTGAAAGCATCTTAAAGCCCATCAAAAACTTAACGTATTGACTTTGAAGTGGGACCAAAATGCGAGGACTCCACCAGAATAAAATATCTCCCAAACCAGTTAAATAGGCACCACTTAATAGCCAGCCATTTCTAAATTGTTTCTTTTATATAGGGTAGCATTTACATTGGTGGTAACTATGGTAACAGATCCTAAGGACCTCTGTAAGATCAGCAAATTACCAGGTGCTAATTGTAAATAAGGAGACAAATAAATAGCTTATAATTTAAATAGCAGCGTCTAAGAGTACCATCCCCAGATTCATGGGTTGGTCTGTACCCTCTGACAAAATAGTGTCCTCTCATCCATATTTAGCCATTTTTGCCTCTAAAAACTAGACTCACTAATGGACATGTTATCCTTTTACTGATGAATTTATAAGAGTAGAAAATGCTAAGACAATGCAATCTGATAAACTGAATGTTAGTGCCATATCATCCTGTTGTAATCATTGAAATACAGTCTATCTATGTCTGCTGGGAATTGGTTCCAGGAGCCTTGTGGATACCAGAAACCCATTTGTGCTCAGGCCCCTCGTAGAAAATGACATGGATCTGCAGAGACCCTCCGCCTATCCTCACGTGTACTTTAAGTCATCTCTAGATTGTTGGTGTCCAATACTGTGCAAACACTATGTAGAGCCTCCTATACTGTGTAGGGTATAAACGAGGGGAAGTCCCACACATGCGCAATGCAGAGGCAGGTTTTTTTCCCCATTACCAACTGCAGCCATGGATGCAGAAAGCACAGCTATTGAGGAAAAATGTACAGATGAAGGTTTCAGACCACCACTAGATCATCTTTGTACTTTCCCCATAAGGATCAACTTCTCCAGCCCTGGTGAAGTTGCCCAGACGGTGGCAGTCCTCATATGTCGTATCTGTCTCCAGCAGTGTTAGGTGGCAGTCGTCATATCTGGACTCTGTGGTCCTGGCCTAGCACTTTCTACTATCTGCTCTTCCCTCAATGCTGTTGGCACTTCTTCATCGAATTAGACCGTTGTCAACCTTCCGGATGCTGCCACCCTTTAATACAGTTCCTCATGTGTGATGACCCCAACCACAGTTACTTTCTTTACTACTTCATAACTGAAATTTTGCTACTGTTATGAATTGCAATGCAAATATCTGTGTTTTTCATGGTCTTACCTGACCCCTGTGAAAGGGTCCTTCAACCCCCAGAGGGGTCGTGACCCCACAGGTTGAGAACCACTGCATTAGACCATCACATTTATTCTATCCCAGTTAATATGTCTTAACTTTATTATGAATGTCAAGGGCTCCATTTCTGACTTGTCAGTTGTAAGTGCAGACCATAAGTGTTGAATATGACTAACACATTAGTCTACTGGAGATGTGGGCATAGAATGCACAGCAGTGGGAAGGGTTATTTTTTTTTCTTCCACTTTTTTTGTTTAGTCTCTGAACATCTGGCTGGAGAAGTGTTATCTGGAAGACATTAGTTTTCACTTTCCTCCAGTCACAGTGTGTCAAGTGTGTTAGAAGTGTCTAAGGACAAAAATATGTTTGTTCCTTGTTGGTTTCCACTCATTCACCCATCCAACCATCCAACCATCCATCCATCCATCCACCCACCAATCCACCCACCCATCCATACACCCACCCATCCATACACCCACCCATCCATACACCCACCTATCCATACACCCACCCACCCATCCATCCACCCATCCATACACCCACCCACCCATCCACCCACCCATCCAACCATCCAACCATCCATCCATCCATCCATCCATCCACCCACCCATCCATCCATCCACCCATCCATCCATCCACCCACCCATCCAGCCATTTCACTATTTAGTCTTCTCATGGTTCAGCCCATGTGTGGGGTGGCAGATGAAAGAACATAAGCCGGCCATATCTTTCTTTCTGCTGAGCTCAAAAGTAGAGGCTCAAACTGTAAACCCTGAGCACAGTCTAAAACAACACAGGTAGACCTCACCCGGCTTAGGCTAGACAGGAGAATTCTAGTGAAGAGATGAAAATGTATAGAGGAGAAACTGAGAACAACCTCTTGTGGGCCTCCTGCCCGAGACTGCCATGGAGCAGATCAGTCAGTCCCCACCTAGCTGGGGAACCCTGCACCAAGGCCTGGCACTCTGAAAATGCCCCTTGCCCAGCCATCTGGTCTCGGGAACCCTGTGATGTTCACGTGGCGTTGAGCCCTTTTGTTCTGTAGTGGGGAACAAGAGGGAAGGGTGGAGAAATCCTGGCTGTCCCAGCCTACTGCAGCCTGGGGAAGGGAACTTCCTAGCTCTGAACCTCCCTCCATTTTTTAATCCTAACGCTTCCTTCCTGTCGGTGTTGCTATGAAGGTTGGAATAGCTAATGGAATCAGGCCAAGGGATTTTCTTTGACTTTTCCACTAAAGGTATTTAAATGTGCTCGCTTGGAGGTGCCCTTCAAAATAGTTCAGAGGGAGCTGGAGAAAGCGGTTTAGCACTAAGAGTGCTTGCATCTCTTCCAGAGGACAGAAGTTGGGTTCTCAGCACCACTGCACACTGCTTGTATCTCCAGTTCCAAGGAAATGGGGGGCCCACACCCACACTCACATTTGCATACACCCCATTACCACCACCATATACTTACAGGTAAAGACAATAAAGACAAATCTTACAGAAGTCGTCTTAGGGGAGGAAGATGAGCATTTCAGTTAGAGGGAAAGGGGTTAGAGACGGGAGGATGGGGCTGGCTGGCCATCTGCCGGGCAGGAGGGTCAGCCCACTCAAGTGCGGGGAGGGCAAATGATCTCTTCTGTAAGCCCTGCAGGGCTCCCAAATGGGGAGGGGGCAGGCATGGAGAGGTGGTGGTGACAGGAAGGGCCACGCTCTACAGGACTGAATGCGCAGAACAGGGACCCGAGGCAGAAAAGTGAGCCATGCATGCGGAGCCGTCTAGAAGAAGGCAGGAAACGCTCACAGGCCTAGTGGCTCTTGAGTGAGGGTCACACCGGGGTCACCCATCTTGACGAAGCCCCTAGTTATGTCCAATTCTTCCCTGCCCATCATTTCCCTGCCAGAGCCACCAACCTGGGGATCCTGTGCCAAGACGGTGTCATTCTGAGCCTTAACTCCACCGCTAGAAGCTCAGGAGAAAGTGGGGCTCCCTTGGAGGTTGTCAAACTCCGGCCCCCAGCAGCGCAGGCTTCTAGGAGGCTCTGAGGAGCCCCAGGGAGCCGAGTGGCAGCCGGCTGCGGGCCTGCCTCCCAAGCCCGCCAGCCTGTGGTCCCCAGCAGATGTCAGTCTGGGAACAGGAAGCAAGCCTGTTTGGGGTTTCTGAAAATAAATAAATAAATAAATAAATAAATAAATAAATAAATAATACCCACAACCACAAGAATGATCTTTTATCCCAAAAATTAAAAAAAATGCTTTAATGACTGCGGCATTTAGCACATCGGGGGTTTGCATAGTTTTCAATTATGCTCAATTCTGAAAGGAGAGTACAGACTCTGAGCCTGAATGGGGAATTGTGAGACTGCAGGGTTTTTTGCTGTCTTAAACATTCGCTTTGCTACTTTAAGGAGAGAACTGTAAAATAGAAATAATAATATATTACTTCAGCACTACGGAGTAGCATTAATATTGCTGTTGAAACCTAGAATTTGAAATGAAGATGGAAGTACGTATTTGTGCATACTCTTTGTTCTTAGAAAAATTATTTGGAGAGAGGCAAAAGGCCTCCTTGTGCATGTGCGCAGAAGGCTGAGGTGCCCTGGTCAGGGAGGCTAGTTCCCAGGTACCGGTCGGGTCCCTGGGTACAGGGAGCACAGCTCTCAGCTCTGATTAGGGCTCTTATGGCTTGCTCAAAGCCACCGAGATATTCTCTTCTTCTCTTTCTTGTTTTCTAGAAATGGGGAGAAGACAGAGGAAACACGGTGGATCAGAACAGCAGGAAATAGATCTTAAGAAGATACACTTAGTTTGATATGGGACGTGGATGCTTCGAGTTCTCACCCCTTTCGCCTTAAAAAAAAAAGTAACCAATGATAAGGAGCTGGTCAAGAGCGCCTATCGCTCTTCCAGAAGATCTGATTCTGTTTCTGTTCCTAACACCCACATGAGGTGACTCACAACCACCTGTAACACACACAGACACACACACACACACACTTTAAAAGAATGAAGATAAACTCCTAAAATCACACCAAATGTAGTTTATACTTGTGGTAAAGAAAGTGAACATGTACTGGAAATGTGTGATCAGAGAGCAGTGATGTGTAGGAGGCAGTATAGAGGGAGGCTGGGTGAGCTTGCCGGAGATAGGAGCAGATTCCAGTGTTCCTCTCCAGCTGGCGGGCTGCAAGGGTGCAGCTCAGCTTAGAAGGCCTGTCTGTCAGGTACAAGGCCGGGGTACTAACCTCAGGACCTCAAAAGCCAGAAACAAAAGCCACAAACAGCAACAAGGAAGCAGCCAGGCTCCCTGGTTTGTTACATTGCACTCATGTGTTGGATTATCACACTATACTTAACAAAACTACACATTTTTCAGACGTAACTTAAAAGCAAAGAAACCTCCGCAGTCTCAGTTGTAAGTGCTTCCGGGAACAGATACTGGATAAAATATAGCGACAGGTGGCAGACAAGCTTCACTCTTTTCATGCCTACCATTAGGTCTGGGTCCCATGCAGGCTTTCTCTTCCCCTTCTGGAAGGGAGAAGGTGACACCCCGAGTTTCCCTCTGGTTACCAATTAAAGGGCCCCTTCCTCCTCCTCTATTAATATAACATAGCCAAGTTTTCTAAAGCAAACATCACGGCTTACCATATGGGGAGCGAATGGCCTTTGGAGGCATTTCTTTAGAGGTTCACCACCATCCAGCCAGAACCGGTACTGCTTGTCTGCGACCCATTTCCTGAATACAGCCCTGCCCACGTGCTCTTTTCCAAGGCGATCTGGCAACCTGCTGGACTCCTAAACTACCTAATGCCTTTGCCATGGAGTATCCTTGCAGCAGAACATTCTTTTCTCACAAGCACAGGACACCAGACTCGCCATTGCAAACAGCCCAACAGCCCAACTCTACAGCTCCCTGAAGCCTTCCTTGAACAGTAAGGCCTTTATGGATTGACCACGGGGATCTCCCATTTGATCTGTGTTCCCTGAAGAGACTTGATTCATGTGCGTATCATTTTCCCCAGCGTACGCAGCAATAATGTTTGATGAGCTGTTTGGAAGTGGGGGCAGTGGCCTGGGAGAAAGTATTTATTTAGTACATTACCACAGTCATGCAAAGTGGGCACAGTCACTTCCACGTTAATAAATGACAAAACTGAGGGTCAGAGAGGTTCTGCAACCTGACGAAAGTTACACAGCCAGGGAGGGATAGTGTAAGAATTGGAATCCAGCCGGGCATTGGTGGCGCAAGCCTTTAATCCCAGCCCTCTGGTGGCAGAGGCAGGCGGAGTTTGAGGCCAGCCTGGTCTACAGAGCAAGTTCTAGGACAGCCTCCAAAACAATACAGAGAAACCCTGTCTCGAAAAACAAACAAACAAACAAACAAAAAAAGAATTGGAATCCAGGCCTGTCTGACTGTAGCGCAAGATGATCTGGAATTTGCTATCTAACCCAAGCTCATCTCAAATTTATGATCCTCCTGCCTCAGTCTGCTTAGAGCCAGGATTACAGGTGTGCACCACCATCCCAGTCAGTTGGAATGCCTCCTGCAAAACCAGCGCTGAAATTTGGAATAGGGTTATAAAAGATGGTGGCCATCTGTTATAACCCTATCTCACCCCTTGCTCTTTAACATTAGCGCAAGATGACCCTCAACAGAGCTTCATCTTTCTAGTCCCCAGAACTGTTTGTTAGTCAATATATTTCTGCTTGTTATACATTGCCCAATTTCACGATTCTGCTGTAGCAGTACACATGTTCTAAGCACACATATTTTAAACTTTACCTGGTGGAGTGAGGGATGTCTCTGGCCATCGTCAACATGTGCACTAGGACCTGGAAGGTGCCCCAGAGTCTTAAGGAGGGCCCAGCACGTGCCAAGGCTCTTCACACAGAGACTGGGATGCATTTCTGACAGTCATCCATACCTTCCGCCTCCATCTTTTAGTTGGAAAACTTAAAGGTAGGGGAAAGTTCATAATGCAGTGAATATTTAAAATGCTTAATGAATATCTTGAATGACAGATTAGGTTGTATTTCCCCCAATTTACAAGTACCAAATCCTTGGGATTTGTATTTCTGTGATTCCTAACACTTTTGTTTTGTTTTGAGTCAGGGTTTCTCTACCTAGCCCTGGCTGTCCTGGAACTCACTATGTAGACCAGGCTAGCCTTGAACTCACAGAGATCCAACTGTGTCTGCCTTTCAAGTGCTAGGATTAAAGGAATGTATCACCATGCCTGGTAGTTCCTAACACTTGATTCCTAAATTTTTCCCTTGAGAAAACGGATTCTCTTTGATAACCACCATATAACTGCCTCACCCGATGAGTTTGACACTACATTAATAGTTTGATAAATGGTCTGTGTTCAAATTACTTGACAGTTGTAGTGTGCCTTTTGCTATAAGTTTCCCTGACTTCCCATTCTAATCAGAAATGTTATACTTTTCTTATTTTGATTTTTTGAGACAGAGTCTGTCTATATATCCCTGGCCTGGAGCTTGCTGTACATACCAGTCTGACCTCGAACTCAGAGATCTGCCTGCCTCTCCTCTGAGTGCTGGGATCAAAGGCACATGCCACCACTACCCAGCCAGAAATTTAATCTTCCATAGCTTAGAACAGCTTGACTCCTTTTCCACTATGCTGACATTGTTAGAGTCCAGGGTAGTTACCTTAGAGAATGTCCACATTCTCTATCTGTCTCTTTCTTCCTGTCACTCCTGACAATACTACAGTGGTGATGATGTTTTCTAGTGCCACTGTATCTGGAGGCACATAATGCCAGTCTGTTCCATGGTGATTGACACCTTCAATGGCTGAGATAGTGGAATTTACATCCTTTCTGTCCTTCTTCCTTGAGTGTGAGCTAGACTTAGCAACTTTCTTCCCAAAAGTAGAATAACTCAACAGTTATGGAATGTTCATAGATGCTCTACTCACAATAGCTAGGAAATGAAATCAGGCTAGATGTCCATCAGCTGATGAACGGATAATGAAAATGTGTCACATATACACAATTGAGTTTTATTTGGTTGTAAGAAAAAATGAAATCTGCAAGACAATGGATGCAACTGGGAAAATTTATACCAAGTGAGGTATTCCTGGTCCTGCAAGAAGAACACCATGTGCTATCTCTTATTTTAAGATCCTTGCTTCAAAGATTTAGATCTGTGTGTTTGGTGGGAGTACCTTAGAGTCCCAGAAGCTCGAAAGGGCACAGCTTGATGATAAGGACCTATTGCTACAGGCAACCAGGGATGCAGGACATAAAAAGTTGAACTGGACCACCAGATAGGGTGGTCATGTTGCGCCAGTGAACACATCCTGCCTGGCAGGTTAGTGTTGTAGCCCTCAGGGGTCCCAGCTGGGTGAGACATAGATGATGCTTCTCCCCCAGCAGCCTGCAGAGCACTTCCTGGCTCTAAAAATGCTAGCCTGCAGAGGGGAGGCTTCCAGCTCAGATCTAACTGGGTGGTTTTCCTCTTCTTCGTCACTGTTGCCACTGCTATGGTGTGTGATCTACAGTATACTATGAAAGCGCTCTATCACTAGCCTGTACCTCCATACCTGCATTACTTTATGTTTTGACACCCTGGTTGTCTCCAAGGTTGGTGAAGGTTCCTTCCACCTGATGACTGTAGGTGTCTTTCCTTTCGGACTCTCTTTGTATTTTTCCCTGTACCAGAGCTACGGCCAGCCTTTTCTCCAAGGTTTCTTTTAGTGAGTGGCTTTCAGAGGTTTGCTCACTGCCACTTGGATGCTCACAGACCTTTCTGGTGCATAGAGTAAGGAAATGCGTTTTGTAGACGTGCTATCTTTTGTCTGTGGCACAGTGGCTGTACCCAATCCTATAGCTGCCTCAGCTGTTGACTGCATTTCAGCTGCTGCTGCTGAAGCCACAGCCCTGGGGATCCTTTGTCTCTGGCAGCCACAGCCTCCACGGCCGGCTCAGCCACCTTCGTGTAAGGAGAAAAATGTTTTACCTAAGTCACTATCCTCTTATTTTACTGCCAAAGACTCAGGATCCAGATGCTGGGGTGAAAACCTGCTAACTCAGAGAGGCAGAGAAAACAGTCGGCAGACCTACCTCCTCTGCTGGTGTCTCAGAAAAAGAGCTTCTCTCCCACCATACCAAACCCAAATGGACTGCCAAACTCAGAGTCCCTCCCTACTGCTTCCTGAGCTTCTCTCTGTCCCTCTTCCTGACTCCTCTTACTCTCTATGGTTGCTTCCTGTCAACTAGTTTCTTGCCCCACCTCTTGACCTATGGTTGATTATATTTAATCCCATTTACAATAAACAGAAGACTCATGAATTAAGGGTGTGCACTAAAGCCAGGCCACACCACAACTAGAGGCAGGTTTTTCCGGTATATAACCCAATCTCAGAGTTCGAAGTGTGATCAAACATCCTGCAAAGTGGAAGTAAATAACTAAATGAAAAGGTTTTTTGGTTTTTTGGTAAGGAAACTTTCTCTAGTTCAGATCCAGTTTCACGGTGCTCTCCCTTACTTTCCCATTCTATATTTGACATTTTCCCTCCACAATGCTTACTTCCTGTCAGCAGCAACATATTTAATCTTATATTCTATCCTGTAATTGCCCTAAATGCCTTCAGAATTACTACTCCAGTGTCATTCCCAGATCAACACCTTCTAAAAACATTCAAAACTCTTTATTTCTGTTGCTCTTAAGCTATATCTTTCTGAAGGTGTGGATTCAGAATACTGTATTCTTGAATTGGGTGTTTTCTCCTTTGTGGGTCTATCATCAATTCATATACAGTTAAGTTCTTTATTTTTTCTATTTTCATTTAATATTTTTCCTTTTTTATTTGTCTTTTTTTTACACCTTTTACATGTTAAGCAATTTAGAATATGAGGACTGAAGAGATAACTCTCTTTTGGGGGGGTCGAGACGTCGAGACAGGGTTTCTCTGTGGCTTTAGAGGCTGTACTGGAACTGCTCTTGTAGACCAGGCTGGTCTTGAACCCACAGAGATCCACCTGCCTCTGCCTCCCCAAGTGCTGGGATTAAAGGTGTGCATTCCTAACTCTTGTTGAGGACCTGAGTTCAAATCCTAGAACCCATGTTGTGTAGCTCACAATTGCCTGTAACTGCAGATCCCAGAGTCAGGTAATCTTGCACCTCTAGCCTCCATGGACATGCTAACATCTGGACACAGACTTACATATGTATACTAAATCTAAAAAAACTAATAAAATGAATCTTTTTGTAAGACCCTAAGAGAGTTATTTCAAATATGAAGCTTTTCTGTTTTGTTTTGTTTTATTTTGTTTTGTTGAGACAGGGTTTCTCTTTATTTTTGGAGCCTGTCCTGGAACTCGCTCTGTAGACCAGACTGGCTTCGAACTTACAGAGATCCGCCTGCCTCTACTTCTGAGTGCTGGGATTAAAGGCGTGAGCCACCAACGCCCGGCAATAGAAAGCTTTTATTATATATAACATATACATGTAATATGTACATAGATACATATATTACATATATATATGTATTGTTTGTTTTTGTTTTGTTTTGTTTTTCCAGACAAGGTTTCTCTGTGTAACAGCCCTGGATGTCCTGGGCTGTTACACAGAGAAACCTTGAGGCCAGACTGGCCTCAAACTCACAGAGATCCACCTGCTTCTGCCACCAAGTGCTGGAATCAAAGGCGTGGACCACCACCGCCTGGTCACTTTTATGTTATATTTTATGTAAATGTAAAGGTATCTCACTAGTCTCCCTCTAGCCTCATTCTTTCCTCCTAACTGGGCTCCTCCCAATCCCTACATGCATCTACTTTTATTAGTGTTGGTTTATTTCTTTGAACAACTAGTTCATATCCATTGTACAAAGAAGTGGGTTTCATAGTGACACTTTGAGCTTTAGTTTATTTTTTCCTGAATGCCTTTTATGTATATAAAGAATAGTGTGCCACATCTGCTCTTCGTTTTTTCTGCATTTACTATATCACAGAAGCACTCCTCTGCCCGTCCCCTTCAGCTGTGGCTCTTTACCGTGGGGACGATTCACCATTTATCCTAGTAGATCTCATGAAACTGAGCTTCTAATATTGTGTTGTGACAGATGGTCTGCCATGAACGACCTTAAAGGTGTCTTATTTCGTGGACACATACTTGCAGGACAAACTCCTGGAGTTAGGATTGCTGGGTCAAAGGTAAGTACATAGTGGTTTTACTATATGTTTCCAAGTTCCTCCCACAGAGAGTATACCCTTTTCACTCCCACTCATGAAGAGGAGGCCCCTTCCCCTGCAGCCGTGCTAACAGTGCATCGCCAAGCTTCTGACCCCGGCGAATTGATAGGCTAGTGTGGTTCCAGTCAGCACCTACTGTAAACTATCTATGCCTTTTGCCTGATTTCCTACCAAGTTGTGACATTTTCTCCAATATTTAAATGTCCCTCATATCACCAATATCACAGATAAAATTGTACCCAGGATAGATTTTATAAGAACTTTCTCACAGCCTTTTAATTTCCTTGGGAGGCAATCATTTCTGAATAAGATTGTTGAATTTATTAATGTTTTACTTGTATTGCATTTACACGTCTTATTTCTCCTTAGAAAACATTTAAGTGTTAGGTTTGGCTCAGATGGGGCTTTATGTCTTGTGACACTTAATGATGTCCCCTCAACTTTCTCTTTTTGTATTGTCAAGGTGCTCTAAGACTCTGGAGTCCAAGCCATCCTCCTGCATTGGTCTAGAGAGGACGGAGGTATATATCACCATGACGAATAGACTGTCTCCCTTTGTGAGGCACAACTATAAGGCCTCTTTTTAAATCTGCTAAGAAGGTGACATGGGGAATGGGTCCAACCAACCTAATTGGTTTCTCATCTGATCTCTTTGGAGGACATGAGCCCAGGTTAAGTCATCCTTAGTACTGGCTGGGGAAGGTGAGTCTTGAGCCTCGAGTCACCCCTGTAACTTGGAATGGCAGGTGTCTTACACAGAAATTTTGAATCATGGACTTCCCCCACAACCAGGGTATAAATAAATCCACCCAAGTTTCCCCCTAACAGTCCCGTGGTTTCGTGTTTCACATCAGGATACCTGATCCACTTGGAGTTTACCCTGGTGAACAGCAAGAAATAGGGTTTTCTAGGCAAGGCAACCCGGTGGAACAGTAGGGAAAATGAATGTCAATCCTTATGGTGCAGGCCACTAGGTGGCGGTCCTCAAGGTTTGTTTCTTGCAAGAAACACTAAGTCTTCAAAAGATAAAGGAAATGACTCAAGATATAACCAACCAAGAAGACATCCCTCTGGGAAGTTTCCCTCATCGTCACAACCTTCGACTCTGGAGGCAAGCTCCGTGTTTCTGCTCCCCACCTCGGAAAGTATTTGCCCCCCATATTTACATTCTCACTGGAAGGTCACAGTGTGTGTAGAGACTGCCTTTGCAGGGATGTCACCAGGCCCAGGGGTAAATATGGGCCAGAGAAGGAAAGGGGTGGCAGTGCTGACTGCCCTGCCCTGAGATTCTGCAGCAGCTTGCAGCAGGAAATGACAAGACGCAGGTTTCCATTCCAGGGCAGTCACCAGCTGGCCCAGTTACTGCAGGCCCCTACTTGGCCTTCTGCCCTTTAGTTTCCCCACATATAAACGTCAGCCCTGCCGGTGTGCAAAGCATGCCAACGGGGTAGGATGGTCCATGGGTTGCAAAGTAAGAGCTACTGTGTAGACATGTTTTCCCACCATTACCTTTCATTTTGTCCTGTGTAGGTGTGTCTCTCTTGAATATGAAAAGGTCATAAGAACTGGTGGTTGAAGGCTGATTCCGGTTTATAAGGTGAATTTTGCACCTCTGTCCTGTCTTTTGAGAAAACAGTCTAGCATAACAAGAGCTGCCGAAGGGACCTAGGAGAGTCCTGCTCAGTTTTGCTCACATTGCCGCCAACCCTTCTGAAGGTGCATATGGAATATTCAATATGTGTAATTTTCATAAGTCTGATCTCTGAAGGGGTTCATGGGTCAAAGTACTTAAGAACCACTACCATGAAAAGGGGAGCCGGGCTGGCCTCAGAGTTTCTCCCCAGTCTGTTTCTGCAGTGACTTAAACTGGCATTAGCTCCTTCTCACACCCTAGGTGGGCTTTTACGTCTATTAATGTCACTTCCGGTTGCAGCTGGTCTGAAGAGAAAGAGAAAAGAGATACAGGCAGAACCCAGGGTATCTAGAAACCAAAGATAAAGTTTCAAGGTTAGGAGACAGACAAGTCAGAATGCCACCTGGATATGCGGAACTAACTCTTGGCGGTGCCATAGTGGTCCTCTTTCTGTTCCTGAGGTGTGTAGAGAGCTTTCCTATCCCAGGGCCTTTGCTGAAACTCCATTATCTAACTAGAATGTTCTGTCCAAGATCTTTGATTGGAACCGTCTCATCTTTGAGGTCTGCAGTGGAATGGATTGCCTTAGAAACATCCTTCCTGGTCACAGATTTCCACAGGCTGTATCGTTTTCCAAAAACAGTTATCAGCATGGAAAATGAACTTTAAAGATATTGTCTCCGTTGGTTTTTGTTCACACAGGCTGGACCCCTCCCATCTGAATGGAAACACCTTTGATCCACGATACTAATCCAGCGTCCACAGCAAGATCTCAAGCAAAGTAAGCGCCCGTTGCATGCTTATGAATGGATGGATGCACATAGCACAGTCAGACTGTATGTCCCTGTTAGAAATGCCACATCAGGGTCTCTGACTCCTCACTCCCTTGGTGCCTGTGTTCTCGAATGTGCTCAACTTGGGGCTGCTGACTGGATATCACACAACACGTCCTTCCCTGTAGCCAGACCTTCCGAACACTCAGCTTACCTTGTTCCAGCCTGCAGAGACCCTCCCTCACACTCACCTCCCCTTCCGGGGACAGACCCTCGTGCATCTTCTACTGCTGCTCTTGGAATCAACGTCTTTCTCACGGCCACCCGAGGCTTGGCTTTCCTAATCAGCTGACCATGCTCATCTCTGCACTGGACTCAAGTATAGAGGTGTGAGAGGCTCCTGGGTAACCTCGAGGAGACATGAGAACTCCCCCTGAAGCTGGTGGACCTTTGAAAGAAACAGAGCAATGCTGGTGTGAGGAGGAGATGGACCACAGCTGGGGAGAACTTTCTAAAGATGGTGGGTCACAAACAGCCTCTCAAGAACACAACTGGGACTCTGGCTGGTCTTAAGGAGCCTTGGGTAAAACACAATATGGCTGTCTAAGCCCAACAAGCCAAGTCCTTGGAAGAATTGGAATGATGCTACTTGGAGGTGACAAGGCAGCCTTATCCCTTATAATGCAACCATGTATTTGATAATTGTCCAAACTTGATCTGGTGGGCTGTGTTGTATCTTCACGGGTAAGTAAGATCTTGACTTTGTCATAGAGTAAAATACTGCCCACAGTTGATTATGTGACTTTTTTTTCCATCAAAAGCCATTGCCAAATGGTTGGGCAGGGGTTCACAAGGAATTGTTCACGCCTCAGAACTGTCTCATCCGTCCAGGTACCTAGCTGTATGGGTTGTTCTTAGCAAAGAAACACATGGGGCGCAGTATGTCACTCAGTATCATTAAAAATGTTTAAATGTGCTCGGCAGTGGTGGCACATGTCTTTAATCCCAGCACTGGGGAGGCAGAGACAGGTGGTCCTCTGTGAGTTCAAGGCCAGCCTGGTCTGCAGAGTGAGTACCAGGACAGCCAGGGTTGTTACACAGAGAAACTTTATGTTGGGGAAAAAAAAATGCTTAAATGTAGCGCCAGGTGCCTTCTACCTCTGGGGCCTGCAAAGGCGCTCAGTGGTTAAGAGCACTTGTTCTTGCCGAGGACCTAGTTTCAACCAGTTTCCAGCACCAACATGGTGACTCATAGCCGAGAGCATCTGACACCCTGTCCTGACCTCCTCCAGTATCAGGCCCACTTGTGGTACAAATACCTCCAACACACACATGCAAAGCAGTTAGACTCATAATGTAAATAAATCCAAAAGAGGGTTTTGAAAGTTCTACCCCGGGAGATTGCTTCATTTTGTACCGTATGCTATCTCAGCAGAAAAGAAAAAAAATGCTTTCCTGAAATGTGTCAATTCTATTCTTAAAAAGGTTCAGTGACCTATTTCTGTAATTCTCATAGACACTGAAAGAGCAGCAAGGTCTATTTAGGCTCAGCTGTCACTGAAAAGTGATGCCGCCAGATGTTGCCTAGAGAGGGGGCCACGCTGCTCTGCAGCAGAGAAGCGTAACTGAAGAGACTGCATTGTCAGGTGAGCCCAGAAGAAAGTAAACACACTGCAGCCAAAATTGACAGTAGGGGATTGCTTAAGAGCCAACCATTTCCTGAACAAAGGACCTAAAATGACAGATTGATGAGAGAGGAACTAAAACTCACCCACTAAGATATGGACAAACACTTGATCCCTCCAGTAATCCAGGAAACGGCAAGTCTAACGAAGGCAATTCGCAAAACCAACCTGTCACGTGGAAAGGCAGAATGGTGAGCACGAGTTCTGTTTACTCAGACATGTTCACTGTAAGAGAGTCCATTTCTTAATGAGATGTGTATTTTCTGAGTGTATGGTAAGGTATATAAGAGAAGCAAGCTTGCCTTCTACCTAAGTCAACATGCAGGCATGCATATATAGCCTATGAGCTTGGACATCCATGTTTTCAAAAAATTGTTAAAGATTTTGTTTTATTTTAAAGTGTGGGGTCGGGGAGGTGTGCGTGTGACCATAGGTGCAGGTACCCAGGGAGGCCAGTAGGAGGTTTCCTGGGATTGGAGTTATAGGCAGTTGTGAGACACCATAATTAGTGCTGGGAAAAGAACTCAGATTTTCTGCTAGAGCAGTACATGCCCTTAACTGCTTGGTTTTAATTTTTCTTTAGACGGGCTTTCGAAGAAGCCTATGTTACTTTGATAAAGGAGAGAGTTTTTGGGGTGTGAGCCATGTATGAGAGCCTTAAAACTGCCTCCTGATTAGAGGGCATCTCAGAAGCGACACCCTCTGAGTGTGCTGGGTCTGAACTCTCAGCTGCCTGCGTTTTGGCTGCTGAGTATCACATTCCAGGCTACATGGCAACAGCAGTATTTTGGAGCAAACTGCCTGCCTGGCTCCCTTCTTTCTGCAGAGTTGACATAATTGTCACCTCTTGAGGAAATAGTGAGATGGGGTACAGGGAATTCAGGCTGGAGTTCACAGTTGGTGCTTTGGTAAGGCAGGATCGGCCGGCAAGATACCGGGTGGGTAATTCGCTATTGTCTGGTCCCTGGCTGAGGTTCTTTCAATTCCTAGGGTCCCTGATAAACTTCCTCCCCTCCAGACAACACTGTCTTCCTCATTTCCTTCCAGTCAAACAACCTGAAAGGCAATCTTCTGCTGAACTTCAAAATCTGTCTCCTGTCCCTCATGACACCCACTGCCCTAACCTTGTCCTCACTAGGACCACCACTCCTGAGCTACTCTGGGCCACAGATGACTTGGTGGGGATGCAGTTGGGGCAATGATACCCAGCTTGGAGAAAGGGGTGATGTCAAGATAGCCCCATGTGCTCCTATCACCCTGAAAGAGCCAAGCTAACTTATCTCTGGGTGTTCAAAAGGCCTCCAGTGCCACCGTGGCAGTCCCTTGTCCTCCTTCCAGCCTCCCCAATCCATCTGGGACAGGATCCTCTTCGTGTTCTTCTCCTTGCCTGGTTGTTTCTCCTCCATGGACTCTGGAAATCTTAGACATTCCCTGAAGAACTATTCCTTCTGCAACCTTAACCTTTACCTCCTGTCTCAAGGCATCAATTACTTCCTGTTCCATCCCATCTTCCAAACTGAAATGTTCACAGCAGGGTGGAGTGACATGACCAATATCTGCATGGTATTGGGTCGGTTCCTTCACCTCCCTGAGGCCCAATTTCACATATAATATGAAGGGATGATCTGCCTTCCTGAGGGTTGTAGAAAAGGCATGGTATTGGCGGCCCCTCGCCCCTCACAAGTCCACAATTTGGGTTTGTTTGTCACAGCTCATAGAGTGACTGTGGGTCATCCTAGGGACCTCTTCTCACTTTCAGACCCATTCATGCAAAGTCTGGACACCTTCACTTGTTTTTTTTTTTCTGGCACCTTTAACCTTAATGTGTTACCATTAAAGTTAATGTGCTCAGACCAACCCGTATTCCTTCTTGCTTTAATTTTTCCCCCTTCACATGTCCTTGGGGAACGGTTCCATTGGTCACCCAGACTCTCCCTGGAGTCCTCTCTCTACACAACACCAGGTCTTTCACTGAATCCTGCCAACTTTACATCCTAAATGTCTTTCACATGACCTGACCTGCAGCTTGACAGACACGAGCAGAGTTCCTCAGGCTCAGACACTTAAGCTTCGCACCAAGACAACAAACCTGCCAGGATCCCGCAGAAACCCTTGAAATTGGCTCTGAACAGACTGGGCTCCAAAACACAAGGCAAAACTGAACTCACTGAGGGTAGTGGTCTGATTGAAAATGGCCTCCACAGGCTCATAGGAAGTGGCGATCTTAGAAGGCGTGGCCTTGCTGGCGTGGGTGTGGCTTTACTGGAGGAAGTGTGTCACGGGGGTGGGGTTTGAGGTCTCAAGCCAGGCCCAAGGACTCATTTCTTTCTTTTCTGCTGCCTGTGGATCTGGATGTAGAACTCTAAGCTACTTCTCCAGCATGTCTGCCTGTGTGCTGCCATGCATTCTGCCACGATGATAATGGACTAAAGTCCCGAACTGTAAGCCAGCCCCAATTACATGCTTTCCCTTCTAGTGTCTCTTCACAGCAGTGGAAACCCTAAATAAAACGCTGAGTATTTATTTCAGTGGCTATGAAATACAAACTATACTTTTATTTGTGTTTGTTTTTTGATACAAGGTCTCAGTAGCCCAAGTTGGCCCAAAGTACTATATAGCCAAGGATAGCCTTGCTGATCCTTCCTCCTTCACTTTTCAAATACCGGGACTCCAGGCTGGATCGCTGTGCTCAATGGAATACCCTTCCTCACTAGCTTTTGAGCAGGCAAACATTTCACTACATTTAAAAACAAGCACATGGCTAGGTTTTTATCTCTATGACCCTGAAAGAAATCATAGTCAATACTTGCTGTTTGTTGTTCTTATTTTGGTAACCAAGTAAACGTTAAAGGTAACGTTATATGCAGTCTCACAAAATCAGCAATATAATGATGTGAGGTATGGAACTGATGTGTGCTTAGTGGCTGTTCCGAGGGGAGAGGAGCTGTGCAAGTGCTGAGCCTGGGAGGCCTTGCAAGTCAGGTTACAATGAGTTGGTAATCTTTCCTGAGGCAATGAGCAGCTGGTTAGGATCCCCTGTCCGCCCCTGGGGTCCATTCAGGTCCATTGCTGTTGCAGTCCTGCTGGGTCTCCTCCAGCCCTGTTTGGAGACAGCCCCTAAGCCCTGGAGCTAGGCAGGCCTCTCTCCTCATATTCTTAGCCTAAATTCTCTTCCAGGTTTTGTCTGCTACTTTCCTCTTTGCTCTGGGAGATCCCTGAGGGTAGGGACAGCTGGAAGGTACCTACTCAGGGATTACTTCTTAGGGGACAATGGTAACATCCCAGATGCTCCAGCACCTGGACCAGGAAAGAAATCAATGACAGGATGGAAGGGAAGGTGTGAGTAGGAGGCACATATAGCACAAGTTCTAACTGGTATTATTAATAAAATCTCAAAGCCGGGCATTGGTGGCGCACACCCTTAATCGCAGCACTCAAGAGGCAGAGGCAGGTGGATCTCTGTAAGTTCGAGACCAGCTTGGTCTACAGAGTGAGTTCCAGGACAGCCTCCAAAACAATACAGAGAAACCCTGTCTCGAAAACCAAACCAAAACAAAACAAAAATATAAATAAATAAAATAAAATCTCAGAGTCAGATAAAGTCAGTTAAAGCTGAAGATCAGAGAAGCAGAGCAACCAGCCGCTAGAGAGCTCTCACCTCTACCAATGCTCAGACCGAATGGGTGATCCTGTCCTCAGACTGCATCTGACTCCACCAAATCTCAGACTTCACTGAACTCTGTCTCCTCCCTACTTATGTTCCTTTCTAGTCCTGGGATTCAAGGCGTGGGATCTCAAGTGCTAAGATCACCTTTGTGTGAGCTCTGTTTCTCTTTTAGACTGAATCAATTTCGTGTAGACCAGGGTGGCCTTGAACTAACAGAGATCTGTCTGCCTCTCTTTTCCTGAGTGCTAAAATTAAAGGCATGGCCACCATTGTCTGGTCTCCATGGCTAACTAGTGTGGCTGCTGGGATTAAATGTATGTGCCACCACTGCCTGGCCTCTATGGCTGACTAGTGTGGCTAGCTTTGCACTCTGATCTTCATGCAAGCTTTATTTGTTAGATGATAAACAAAATATCACTTCTGAGGTTTTGGGGTCTGAATCTACAGATTTGATCTACCCCTCAATCAAAACATCCAGGAAAAAAGTTCCAAAAGGCAAAACTTGAGGTTTCCTGGTGCCAAGCATGAAGCTGAACCTGCATGGATACAGCACTGTGTAGGATCAGTAACTGTTGCAGGGGCTCAGTTACTCTCCAGGCCTTCTTGTTAGGCCAATGGTTGCAC